ATTGAGCGGTATTTATGTAAATCTTCCTCCTCGAAATTTCATTAGAAATTAGAGATGAATGCACTTTGTAATTTAATTAATTGAGTGGTCAATAATATATATATTTTTTTTGAAAAGATATATAATTAAAAGAAGTTATATATCTTTGTTAGAAACGTGAAGTTTTAACATTTGATCCACATTTATTTATTATTTACAAAGTCAAGTCTTCCACATTGCGTATAACAAAATTTACAATAAAATTTAGACGACCATTAAATTTTATCTTACCAAAAATGTTATTTTTAAGGAAAAAAAAATTTTACTTTTACGTTTCTTTTAGAAATATTTATATATATAGCACTCAATTTGTATGTATTAACATATCTAATACCTATATTTTAATTTTTACAAATATAGCCCACCTTACCTATACATGCATAATGCATGAAAAGGAATTGCTTATTAGAGGTTAAGTATTATACGTCATATTATTATTATTATTATTATTATTATATATACGATCTGTAACAATTGTTTATATAAAATTACAAGAAATCAATTTTCAAAATAGAACTGTTGTGGCGTTCTGAAAAGTAAAGTAGACAGAAAGTTATCCAAAACATATCCTTACAAGAATAGAACTCATTAATCTTCGTATTTGAAGAAATATGGTTCAAACTTTTGATACCTTTTCTATCTAATTCTTTGTTTTAGTCACATGCATGAAGTTAGGCCTATTAATGGAGAAAATATTAGGTGTTGACAGCAGATGTGTGGATGACACAACGCTACTGAATGAACGACATTATATAATTCACACCATCATCCACACGTCTAATATATCAGACATAATATTTTTTTTCGTATCACTATCATGCACACAGTTGAGTGCAGAAAAACTCGAATTAATATGTAAGTTAATCATGAAGAAAATAAGAAACTTTTCCTCATTGGGGCAGCATGGAAGCCTCAATGTTGCATGTTACAATTGTTATTTATAGGAAGAAAGTTAATTTGATGACTAAAGAAGTAAAGGAGGCCTGAAACACATTTTTTAATGTTGAATTATCTTCAGCTAATATATGGTACAAATGACTTTCATTTGCTCAGATTTGGAGAAGTGGTTGACACAATGCAAGTGAGCACAAATTCACACCTAAAGTTTATATAACAATGCACATGTCATTCTTTTTTCACGTTCTAAGATAATAAAGACATTTGATTTGCAATTTTGCAAATCAATATTTTGCTTTATGAAAAGTATTTGTATTAATTTATAGCTATCTATTAAAACCAATATCTTATTGTTTTGGTAGAATGTAATTAACGGAAATACTTTTCCTTTAAGCAAAATATTGTGTGTATGTGTCTGTCCATCCAAGTAAAATAACCGAACAAACAGACGTATGACACAATTTCGTCTTTTATGGGATTTTGGTGCTAGGGCTCAAGGGAAAATCACACGGATTCGTATGGGAGAATCTACGAAAGCCTCTAACCTATCGATCTCCTCTAAGCACAACAGAAAATGAGACTTAGGGGCTCTAGGAAACATAAATATGAAGTTTTGGGAGTTTATACTGTCGTGGTGGTTGATCGAAGTCTAATCCTGGCTCAGGGAGAAGCTCTCTTGGTTATGAAGAGATTCCGGCGATGCTCCAAGTACTGGCCTTCACTCCCCTCGGGTGATGAAGCTCTCCTTAAAAGAGTTTTCCGGCACCGGCGCAACACCAAACTTCGTTTTTTTTTCTCTATTTCTCAGACATGACGGTGACGGAGAAAAAAATGCGGGAGGAAGAAAAAGGAAAGAAAATAGAAAAGAGGAGGAGGAAGAAGAAAAATGGAGAAGCAAACTCTCCAATCACTCATATGATTGCCCCTCAAGCCTCTGTCTCTCCCCTTAGTTTCTCGAATTAGGACAGTGACCGACAAAAAAAATGCGAGATCAGGAAGAAGAAGAAGAATGAAGAAGAGGACGCAAAAGAATGGTGAAGAAGCTTTTCAAGAACTTTGCAAATGAGCATCATATCTCTATCATGTCCTCCCTGCCCGATATATTTTCCTAGGCTCAAGACATGGAATGACCGTTCGCCCCATTTAGCAAGATCCCACATAACTAACATGTCATTTTCGGCTTTAAAACTGATACAACGGCTTATCCCGACTTACATAGATTTACATACCCACGACTCAATCCTACCCATCGGCCCGTAAAACTTCCCAACTGATCGCTGCTTTTCCCGACCAACCACCAACTTCCGACCAGTCATCAACTGCCTCCAATCAATCAATTCAATTACAAGCATCATTCAATACTTTTATTTTATATATCTAACCCTTTAAACATAACTTTATTCCCAAAAAAAGAAAACTAAAAGTAAATATATTTTTTTCCCTAAAAATAACATTTTTGGTAAGATAAAATATAATATGTTTACAATTTGCCTCTTTTGGTCATTCTTATAAACTAAGCAATCTAAAAGACTTGACTTGCAAATAATAAATAAATGTTCATTTGCTAATGAAACTTCCCTTTTCCAACTGACATCAAAATAAGCACCATTGACCATGCACTTAATTAAGATCATGTTAAAAATTTAAAAATTATATATATA